TGTCACGCTGATGCAGATTGTCTTTCGCGACTACCACTTCCATCGACGGGCTGCGACGTGGGCAACTTCGACACCTACATTGCGCCATTGAACCTGCTATTTCCTGATACCGCCTTTAAGATACAGGAGCTCCTTTCTACCGAGTCAAGAATAACGGCGACTCGCTTCTGCATGCGCGACGGGCTTGTGTACAAAAAGACCTATGCTACGACCGGCTTACGATATCTTTTCGTGGTTTCGAAGAGCCTTCACGTTTCTGTCTTGCAGGCTATGCATGATGACCCAACCTCCGGCCATCTAGGCACAGCGAAAACTCTTTGCCGGTTTCAAGAAAGATATCACTGGTCCAAAATGCGCCAGATGATGGAACAGTATGTCTCTAGTTGCAACGACTGCCAACGCCCAAGCGCCCTACCAGTGCTCCTCCAGGGCGACTACACCCTATTCCACATCATAGAACTACATTCTAGCAAGTTGGGATTGACCTTCTAGGTCCCTTTTCGGGGTCTTCTAATGGCAATCGCAGAATGGTCGTATGTACCAATCACTTAACACGGTACTGCGAGACAGCTGCTATACCATCGGCAACTGCAGCTGACGTGTGTTCATTCATGCTGCGTTTTGTGGTTCTACGACATGGACCTCCTAAAATTGTTATCAGTGATCGTGGGCGACAATTCACTGCAGACGTGGTGGAAGAGATGCTTCGTCTAAGCGCTTCAAGCTTTCGGCACTCTAGGCCATATCATCCCCAAACAAATGGCCTGACGGAACGTACTAACAAGACTCTAACGAACATGCTTATGTATGCCGCAGCAGATCACAAGAACTGGGATGGCGTGCTACCTTTCATCACTTATGCATTTAGCACCACACAGCATGAGACTACCAGCTACAGTCTATTTTTTCTTCTGTATGCTCGGCCACCTTGTCATACCCTAGATACTGTCTTCCCGTTTTTGGACCACCATGATTACGGTATATCCGAGATCGTCTGCTGTGCAGAAGAAGCCCGACGTCGTGCTTACCTGCGCACCTTCGCTTCGCAAGATCGCTCGAAGGCATGTCTTGACCGTCAACGTCGACACGTGACGTATAATCGCGGAGACCACGTGTTGCTGTGGACGCCAAATAGGAAACATAGGTTCTGTGAAAAATTGCTGGCACGCTATGCAGGACCTTATGTTGTTCTAGACCGCATAAGCGATTTAACTTACTGCGTAGCACATGTTCGTTCAAATGGCCGACGATCTGCAAAGACTGAACTTGTCCATATAGCACGTTTGAAGCGCTATATTGCCAGAAAAACTCTTTAACTCGCCCGGTAGGCTTCGTATGCGCGGAGGGAAATGTTATGCATATGTGATTTGGGTATGAGCCTCTGGGGAGCGGGGAATAGGCAGATTAGAGAGGAAAGAGAGAGAGAGAAACGAAGGAAGGCAGGGAGGTTAACCAGATGCACGTTCGGCTAGCGAGAAGTGCCGCTTTGCAGCACGCCAACTCACCATCCTAGGGTACGTCGTGTTTAAGGATGGCATTCTTCCTGACCCAGCCAAGCTTCGGGCCGTGGCCGATTTCCCAAAACCTGCGTCCGTCAAAGAACTGCGTAGTTTCGTGGGCCTGTGCTCATACTTCCGACGCTTCATACGAAACTTCGCCACGATTATTATATCACCGCTGACGAAGCTCCTTGGAAGTAACGGGCCCCTCAATTCGTGGTCGTCAGAATGCGACAACGCGTTCTTGAAGCTCCGCCATTTGTTGACGTCTCCTCCCATTCTCCGCCACTACGACTCTACGGCCCCAACAGAGGTGCACACGGACGCCAGTGGTGTAAAGCCTCGGCGCTGTCCTGGCGCAGCGGAAACCCGGGTTCCCTGATTATGTTGTGGCATATGCAAGCCGTACGCTCACGAGAGCTGAGACAAACTACACCGTCACGGAAAAAGAGTGCCTGGCGATTGTCTGGGCTCTTACAAAGTTTCGCCTTATTTGTATGGTCGCCCGTTCCCTGATTATGTTGTGGCATATGCAAGCCGTACGCTCACGAGAGCCGAGACAAACTACACCGTCACGGAAAAAGAGTGCCTGGCGATTGTCTGGGCTCTTACAAAGTTTCGCCTTATTTGTATGGTCGCCCATTCGATGTCGTCACCGACCATCATGCACTATGCTGGCTGTCATCATTGAAGGATCCCTCAGGCCGCCTCGCCCGTTGGGCTCTTCGCTTACAAGACTACGACATCCGCGTGCTCTGCCCCAACGAACGCCAGCATGCTGACGCCGACGCTCTCTCGCGCTCCCCTCTGCCTAAAGCTAACGTGCTCTGCTCAGTATCCTCGGCTGCTGTTTCTGCCATTGATGTTGATATCATCGCTACCGAACAGCGAAAGGATAATTGGATCGCCCAACTGATCGACTTGCTCTCTGATCCGTCCGCAACGCCATCCACGCGTGCCTTGCGTCGTCGAGCTCACCATTTCGCCATTCGTGACAGCCTCCTACACCGACGCAATAACGACGCCGATGGCCGGCAGTGGCTACTCGTGATACCCCGCAGTCTGCGGTCGGAGATATGTGAATCCTTTCATTCTGATCCACAGTGCGCGCACTCTGGGGTATTCAAAACCTACCATCGCATTAGACAACGCTACTTCTGGCGCGGGATGTACCGCTACGTCCAGCAGTTCGTTCACTCCTGTCTCGCTTGCCAACACCGCAAACCGTCCACACACATGTCACCAGCCGGTCTGCAACCGTTACCTTGCCCTGACCGTCCGTTTGGGCGCATAGGTATCGATTTGTATGGACCACTCCCTCTGACGTCCACTGGCAACCGCTGGGCCATGGTCGCCGTAGATCATTTAACGCGATACGCCGAAACCGCCGCTCTCCCTGCGGCTACTGCGCGTGATGTTGCGTCCTTCCTACTACATCGTTTCATACTGCGCCACGGTCCACCCCAGGAGCTTCTCAGCGATCGAGGCCGTATCTTCTTGTCAGAAGTCGTCAACGCCATTCTCACTGAGTGCCATTCTGTCCACCGCAAAACTACTGCTTACCATCTGCAGACGAATGGTCCGACCGAACGCTTTAACCGCACCCTCGGCGACATGCTGTCGATGTACGTCGCCGCCAACCACACGAATCGGGATACCATACTGCCCTTTGTCACTTACGCCTACAACACCGCCCCTCAGAGCACGACTGGTTTTTCACCTTTCTTTTTGCTGTACGGAAGGCACCCGTCACACACCATCGACACGATACTCCCGTACACGCCGGATCCATCTGAGTGTACACCTATTTCCGAGACTGCCAGGCTTGCTGAAGAGTGTTGCGAGCTTGCCAAGACTTTTACGACGCATGAGCAAGAGCGGCAGAAGAGTATTCGTGATGGCTCCGCCACTTCTGAGCCCACGTTCCTTCCTGGTTCCCTTGTATGGCTCTCAATCCCGACCTCTGTAGCTGGCCTTTCTTCCAAACTACTCCCCAAATATGAAGGTCCCTACCGTGTGATCGAGCGCACATCTCCGGTCAACTATCTTATCGAGCCAATTGAACAATCTTCGGACATGCGCCGCCGCGGGCGCGACATAGTCAACGTGGAGCGCCTGAAGGCTTACTATGACCCGCTCGTAGTGACAAGCTGTTATGTCGCCAGGCGGCTCCCTCTTCGACCCCGGGGTAATTGTAGAGAAGCCGCCGAACACTGTAATGAGTCAAACTCTCAAGTGCTTCCTAGTGGGTCTGCCCAAAAAGAACGCCGTGCTTGGCCGTTACTGTGGCCATTGTGTAGACTCGCTGTGTGCCGGCTAATAAACGCCATAACAATATATATATATATATATATATATATATATATATTAAGGAAGTGGATATGAAAATAATCTTTTTTTTCCAAAGCTGAATGGACGAATGTCATAGAACATTACACATATTAATGCTCACATGAGCTGCGGCCGCAGCTGCAAGTTTGGGTTAAGGTAAACAGATTCATTGTGATATGATGCTATAGCAAGAGCTGCAAAGTGCAGCTTTCTTTTACATTGCAGGAAAGGTACAGGGTGTAGTTTATAGAGTGAAATAGGGACGCAGCTTAGAATTAAGAACCCATCAGTTCACGTGGTACGTTTTATGTGAACATAACTAAGCATGGTACATAAACGCCCGTGAGATTAAGCTGTCTATCAAAAATGTAGGAAAGAATATATTTAATGTGTGACAAAAACGTGGGCATGTAACTTGAAGAAAAGAAAGAAGTAGGGCGTCCTAATTTCCAACGACAAGCGAAGCGGTGCGGACTCCACATTTCAAACATCTGAGAAGGAAGGAGACAAACAAGTATGCCACAACGACCGGCACTTATGGTGTAACCACATTGCTAATTAAGACATGAGCACTAGCGAAGCTAGCTACCAAGTGTTTAGCTAACTGCTACATAAGTAGACGTCCGATCGACATGTCAAAATCGTGGTTAGTGGAGTGAGCGCTATTTAACGTAACATGAACAGCAAAGAAAAGCGGGAGTTTTCGGGCTGACGAAGGGGAAAAAGGTGCGCGAGCGTGTAAGCTACAGCTGTTTTCTTATATAACGGATGCCTTGTCTCAAGGCGGTAAAAAGTGGGCGCAAACGAGCCGACGACCGCCTACACACTCCGGAACACGCCGCGAGCCGGTGACTAGCGCGGCAGGTGCATAACAGTTTTACGCTGAAGCCTCCCCCACTAGCACATCTGAGATATCCGTTCATAGCATGAAAAATATGCCTTGTTCTAAAGGCCTACTAAGTGATCAAAGAGAGGCGCTATGAAATAGGCCGTCAGATCTGCTAGCAGATCTGGCGTAGATAACGCCACTGCGCGTATTCGCAGATGGCGTGATGCTTGATATTGAAGCCGGCGTTACACATTAGTTCAGGTTGTTATTGGCAGTCACGGTGTGTATCTGCGAGCGATCGCAGCTAGTGTACAATTGAAACATATTGCAGCTCTACCTACCAATCTGGCACCCATTTCCACCGTTCGAGTCGTCCACCACCACACACGAACTACCTCAAATGTTCGAGGCGAACCACACAGCAGTTCAATATGTTCCTTAGCCACATACTTCCGGGGCAAGCTACCTGGTCTATGATCTAGTATCCAGGCACCATAGGTATATCACATCACACCAGACAAGCATGCGGCCACTTCTAGATGTTTCAGATACGACCTGCAACCAGTAAACAAACACAACTCATCAACCGTATGGCACTGGCTCAACAAGTTACTTTTTATCTGAACAGTTCGGATTGGCCAAACTCCATACAATGCAAGTTCAAATATATAATCCATTTATACAGCAAAATAAGCTTACTGTTTAAAAATTTTGTTTTTATGTATGGCCTCACAATTATAACAATGTTCAATTAATATCTTTTACTAGCGTTTCTTTTGCACTTTGTTGCACCAAACTCAAGTTCCTGTTATGGCCATAGAGGGCGAAAAAATCGGCCATGGCATCTTCCTCGTGGGCCATGGCAAGTTTTGTCACGTGCGCATATAGTGGTGTTACTATCCTTTCTTTCGTTCATGAGTTAGGCTGTATTCACAGAGGAAGGAAAGGTGGGCTGTGTTCCAATTTTAAGACAGCACGTAGATCACGGAGGAAGGAAGGGTAGGAGAGGGCATGCAGCCGGCGCAGGGCGTAAAAAAAAATGTGGCAGAAATTACGTCACAGCGGCCATATGCACTGGGCACAATGGCGGCGTTTTGTTATTATTGATGTAGTGCGGTGCGGCACCGTTCAGGCGGTCCAGCGGCGGTGTGCGCATTTTCATGGGCCTCGCCCCTAACCGTGGCATACTGCAGGTGTTCGACAGCATCCATTCTTTGTGCCGCATCGTTAGCTACGCGATTTTCCTCCGGTGGTGGTTGTAACCAGGCGTCTGAACTAAATCACTGAACGAGCACGCGTATACGTACTCCGAATTTGCAGCGTCCGTCAAAACTGTGTCTAGCCCACAGCCTGACCGAAAATTTTATAAAGCCTAAAAAGAAGCGCAAAACGGGGAAAAAGTGATCTGAAAGAAGCTGTACAAATTTCGTTGCCTGGTTCGTCGCGCGGCAACGTCCGAAATATAAACTTTATTTTCACAAAGAACACATCAAATAAAAAAAAGCTTAACGTGCAACTTGCCATGTTTATCGTAAACGCCGGCAGAGCAAGAGTACAACACCCATACGCAGAGATTTCGTCAACCGTATCGCGGCAGAACAGCGTGTTGAAATCCGTTCCGTTGGTTTCGGATAGCAAGCACGCTGCCCGCAGGCCACGTGCTTTTTGAGACAGAGAGGGAGTCGCGCCTTCTGCTTCGCATTGATACGTAAATAAGAGAGGAGAATTTGCCCAGTCAATATGGCCGACTTTCGGCTTCATTGCGGCTTCTTCACAACGAGCACGGAGGAGGAAAAAAGGTAAAGAGAGGCCCTGACGCCACTCGTTGCGAAGCCGCCGCAATGAAGCCGGAAGTCGGCCATATTGACTAGGCAAATTTTCCTCTCTTGTTTACATATGGATGCGAAGCAGAAGGCGTGACTCCCTCTCCGGCTCGGAAAGCACGTGGGCTGCGCTGCGCGTATGTCGTGACGATCCGAAACTAATGGAACGGGGCTCACCACTCTGAGCCAGCAGGACACCTTCAGCGAAATCGCTTCGTCCGAGTAATAACAGGGAGTAACAGCTCGCCGACAACGAAGCAACTACGAGAGAACGCGCGCTAGATGCACAGACAACGGCGAGTGCTTTCACGTCATTAATTCAGCAACTGTACAGACAACACGATCGGTCGTGCGCCTTCTACGGTTGCACTCCGCCACGCGGCCGACGCAGCGTCCTGCCACTGTGTCCGTGTTCCGCGTGAAAATCACCGGTGTCAGCATTCTGCGACCGTGGTGACTGAGCACGGTGCCAGTGACAGTTGAACGTGGTTGCTGTTACGTTGAGATTACATGCAATGCTGGTGGAGAGTGTACCAAGCGGAACAGAAAAGGTGTTTTAATACGCACATGCAAGTTGTTACTGTACACAGACAACACGAAACTACGTATGTGCACATGGTCCTCACGGCGTCTTGCTGGGCTCAACAGCGCCGTCCGTTGTCACAAGCAGGAGCACTGCTCAACCGTCACTGACCTGCAAGGCGTTCGTCGTCTTTCAGCTTCGTCATGGTGCCCAACGCGATTTCGCTGAACACTAACTGCTTCATCCGCGTCATCCGCCGCACGACACATGGATATGCACTTGTTTTACGCACTGTTGAAACCCCGTGATGGACAAAGGGATTTGTAAACGTTGCTAAGAGTAATGTAACAGCCAGGAGAACACTACGTAACCCATAACGCGGCGCAGAGCACAGATATTGTCCGCCACGGCTCAGCACGAGACCTGGGGATGCACACATTGCGCCGCCAGCCGCGGCCGCTCACTGCTAGACCAGCTTCACTGCGCAACACGTTACCATAACAACGCCGCCATTGTGCCTAGTGAATGTGGCCGCTATGATGTCATTTCCGCTACGTTTTTCACGCCCTGCGCCGGCTGGGCATGCCCTCTCCTTACCTTTTTCCTTCCTCCGTGACAACGAGTGACGTAGGGGCCTTTCCTACCCGTAGAGTTTCTTAAAATACACTAGAGGAAACTCAGGCGCTAGTGTCTACGGGAGCTGCAACGCACGGCGCTTTAGCGAGCATGGGAATGATGGGTCAACGCCTCCTAGATTTCCCGCGCCTGCCGAATGAACGTGAAACGCCCGTCATCTATGGCGGCGCTGCTTACGTAGGAATAGGAGTCATTGTGTTTGGCCTTTGAGATTGGCAATTTTGGCATTTGCTACTAATTTTAAAAGATGCCTTGTATTATAAAAAGTTGCTTGCTGAATGACGGTGTCACTTACGTTGGGTTATATATAATTACGTTTACGTTTTTTTTTAAACTTCTTTTACGTTATTTGTGATGCATATAAGCTCCAAAAACGTAAAAACCTATTTGAAGACACCCTACTTGTTTGGCGTTACCACCGTAGTTCCGACGACCACCGCTTTCCAAGTGACTGCCGCTGATCCGGCAGGCACGAAAATCTAGGAGGCGTTGGATGGGTAGTAGTAGTACTGTAGTACACACATTTGTCTAACTTTTGTACTTCTGGCTCCATGTGTGTTCGTGTGGCTTGGAGCTGTTTTTTTCACCAAAACATAAATTAGCAAATGTTCACCGTTTGCGCTTCACAACCTTATTTTTTTAGGCTTACCATTTCAAATCAAGTCACTAAGTTCAAAATGGTTCGTTCTTTCTTTGAAAACAAAACCGTAGCCAGCAATTAACGAAGTCGCAAGTATGATTTGCCACCCGCAAGTACGAAGACTAGGCAAATGTGTGCACTACCCATCACTCCCATGGTCGCTGAACGATCGCAGCGCCAGAGTGCCCTCTAGTTAATTTTAGGAAACTCTATGCTTCTACGGTCCTACCTTTCCTTCCTCCGTGACGTAGACAGTCTGCGAAGACAGCTTAAAAGACAGCATCAAGCCTATGCTGGCCGAGAAATGGACCACATTTAGACGGTTTTCACAGGACGATGCGCAACCTCGCGTCTAGAAGAGAAAGCTAAAACAAACAAACGTAACAGTTATAATTCCTGGCTTATTTCATGTTGAAATAAAAACAAATAAACTTTACTCACATTAAGCATCTGGGAAAGCGTTTGCTTGTGTGCAGATGATCATTCCGGTGAGATTTGATCATGACCTGCTCTATAAACTTATGACCTGCTCATCGGTGCTACCCCTATGAAGGCGTGTGGGCCCGAAAATTGGCGCATAGGGACTGGAGTTACCGCAAGGTGCTGCCACGACTTACCCTCATAGCAGACGACGTGCTGCCGTAGTAGTGCACTCGTGCATGCGCGTTGCTGCAATTTTTATCTTATTTATAACGCGCCGATCGAACCACTCGCAGATATAACGAGCTTTAGCAACATTCTAGCTGTGAGAAGTACCAAAGTTGTTGGCTCCAGGATGTTCATTACAGCAACTAAATCAGCTTGAGCGCTTTGTGTCCTGGTCTAAGCGCAGGCGAACGCGAGCAATATGTGCCACACCACCAGTTTCTTTTGCGCAGTGCGCCCCACCTAACCGCAGTGTAGAAGGTGCTGAAATAATTCGTGCATGGGCAAAACAGCGATCTTGTAACGAGTTCCAACCTGAAATCAGTGTGTTTCTGCGACGCAATAAAGACGCATACGGTACTAAAAACGCATGCAATGACCCGTGAAAGTTTTCATGCCCTGCATATCGTTCTTCAATGATACTCTTCACGGATAACAATAGAAGTGGGTAGTTGTGCTGTCGTCAGGCGAATGTCTAACGATCGATGGAAGCGTGCGATTAAACCAGTAAATTACCTCAATGTTGTCACAGTGATTTCTCGCACCTGCAGCAGTGCGTTGGAGCACTGTTGGAGCACCGCTGGCGTTTCCGTGTGTGTCTCACCGGCGATGTCACAAAGGTTTTCGCTCTGGAGCAGCAAAATACAGCGCATTGTGTGACAACAGCTTTTATCGCGCTCCCTTTCTGTAGAGGCAATAATGTTTTGTAAAAACGCGAGTATCAGTCTATACCATGCATTCTGACTGGCTAAATCACTGCGAACTGTCCCTGTTCTATTCCACGAGCTTTTAGCATTGACGCTGTCGAATCTAAGTGACGGGAAATTCGTGAAACGATATCCCAGTTCACCGCCGGCTGCTCGACTTGCAGAATGAAACGCAGCAGTACACCATTATGTGAATGGTGCTTTACCTTTTGTACCCTAATGCTCTCGAGTCTTGAACAAATATTCTGATGAACGCTAACCTTTAAATGACACGAAAACGAGTTAACGCACGCACGCACCGCGCAGGAAAGCGCTTTGGCGGCTGCAGTGATGAGGGTTAGTTGTGGCGCCATGGTGTGCTGCGGCAGCTTTGCGAACTAAAAAAACTAAACAAGCAAAAGCATACCTGGCGACATGGGGAGCGGTGGCATGAGCAGGTCGTAAGTTTATAGAGCAGGTCGCAAATTTTATCTATCTGAGCGATTCGCTGAGCCACCATCTTGTTTAGACAGCACTGTAGCCTGCATCCACGGAAAAAGGAAAGGCTAGCATTCCTTTCCTTCCTCCGTGCCTGCATCGTATTTGTCTACGATGCAGTTTTCTCGGAGCTGTCTACGTTGCCGGAGACTTAGGATGGCTGCCGTCC